GTATGACCAAAGAATGAATGGTTAAAGCAGAAGAGTTAATGTTTTGGAAGGTCCTGACCTTAATCCTGCAGAAATGTTGTGGAAGGACCTGAAGCAGGCGATTCATGTGAGGAAGCCCACCAACATCCCTGAGTTGAAGATGTTATGTAAGGAGGAAAGGGCCAAAATTCCTACAAGCCAACATGCAGCTATTGGAAACGTTTAGTTGCAGTTATTGCTGCCCAAGGGGGCACATCAATTACTGAAAGCAAATGTTCATATTTTACCACACAAAAATATGTAGCTTTGCATCATTTTCCTTAGTAAAAAATGAACAAATACAATGTTTTTGACTCATTTGTTTAATTGGGTTCTCTTTATTCAGTTTTAGGACTTGTGTGGAGATCATATTGCTTTATTTTATTGATCATGTGCCATCAAGTCATTTTAGACTCCTAGCTACCACACTGATAGATTTTCTCCATGATGATTTATTCTTAACCCGTAAGTCTCCCAATCCTCCACTCATCGCTACTATAACTGAGTCCATCCTCCTTGATGCTGGTCATCCTCATCTTCTCTTTCCTTCCACTTTTCCCAGCATTAGAGCCTTTTCCAGAGAGCAACATCTTCACATATGTCTGCAGTAGAATAATTTGAGCCTGGTCATTTGTGCCTCAAGTGAGACCTCTGGGTTGATTTGCTCAATGACCCATCAGTTTGTTTTCTTGGCTGTCCACGGTATTCTCAGGAGTCTTCTCCAGTACCAAAGTTCAAAGGCATCAATATTTTTCCTACCCTGCCTCTTCAAAGTCCAGCTTCTGCTTCCATAGAGTGTCACAGGGCAAAAGAGAAGAGAATAGAAAGAGTAAAAAGTGCAAGGAAAAAGGAAAAAAAGAGAGAAAAGTAAGAATATAATAAAGAGAAAGAAATATATAAAGAAGTGACTTCCTATGTTCATCACAAATATAAAAAATTTAGTGACTCCTCATCCCCTCTAAGGTTACAAACTATTCTCTCTTCATCCCATATCCCATCTCTTATCTATAGGCAAATCCATAAAACATCATCTTTTCAGTCCTGGTGTCTGCAGAAAGTCTATAAAGGATTGCCAGTAATAACATATCTTGTTTTAACCTTGATCAAATGAACCAACTTTATATTCCTTCCTTTTATTTCTAACAGACTTAATCTTCAGTTAATTCAATTATTATTGTAGGATTTGATTTCTCATTTCTTCTTTATCCCATCACACAGAGTTCTTCAAGCCTCTTTTGTAAATCCAATAAGAAAAAATTATCCAAGTCACTTCCTTGGTTTATCATTTGTATTCCCCTTTTGATTTTTTAAAACATCAGGCAGACATCATGACTGACACTGTTGATACTGTGGCTGCTAATTTCTGGCTCCATTCTTCAAGTCTCCTTTAATACTTTCAGTGTTATGTTTTGCATCATTTTGTCGGTCCCAGTTAATTAACACAAAATGTAAGCTTGTTGTTTTTTTCCCTCTGCCTAGAATCTTTAGTCCCCTCTAGTGTCCAGTTTTTAAAATCTGTCCTGTTTCAGGCCAGCACACACACGCACATGAAGAGGTGATTTCAACACTTTACTAAAAAGTGGCTTGATGTAAATACAAATGCAAACACACACACAATAAAGCAACAAGTCCCAATTGCCTAACAAGCTTGCCTTAGAGAGCACAGTCCAAAAACAGCAGGCAGAGAGAGTAGTCAGGCAAAGTCCAAAGGTCAAAACTGGGTACCAGGTTCACTGGTCAGTCCGTG